AGCTTGGTGCCACATCCCCTAATTTCAGTTTATGTACTGGAGAATTCCCTGGACTTCTGCATAAATTTGGGGATTTTTTAATTGATGTAGGAGGAGGTGAGATGAGGAGTGAGCCTGTAAACTTTAGAATAGGAAAATACAATGGGGATTCTTTAATGGGTCGATATACAGTCCCAAGAAATTGCTGCAATTTCTTGTCATAATTTAAGAAACAATTTGGCTGATAATACATTAAGAGAACAAATTTGAGGATTGAAATTTAAACTGCTGTTTAAAAAGTATGTTACTTGTTGAAATCATTAAGGCAATGCAGGAAAATAATACAGTAGTTTCCAGAGATCTCTTCTGTATTTCCAGCTGGATATTTCTCAGTAGGAATACATTCTACCTAAAAAAAGCACCACAAAAAAAGGTGCAGAAATAGAATCCTTGTGTAATTATTTAATTTTTAATAAAGGAATGCTTCATTTCTTCCTGGCAGGGAGTGTATAAAGAGCAGGTTATGATGTCTCTGGTTTTGATTTTTAAGTGCCAAATGCTGATTTCTTTGTGGCTCAGTTTCCAGTTGCTTATAGCTTTGCCAAACTCGCGCTGCTTGAGTTGAAATTTCCTGTGTTGCCTTTTACTTCAGTAAATGCTCTGAGAAACCTTGGAGCAGTTTCAGGACAGTGGCACTTGCAGGGCACCAGCAGCAATTTCCTGCCTCCAGAAGAGCTTTTGATGAAAGAGAAGCAGTTCAAATACATTGGGAAGGGCAAATCCTGCTGGAATTGCAGGGAAAGCCTGCTGTGCTTACCCAGGACCTGAGATGGGGTCTGGGTGCCCACTGATGGAGGCAGAAATAGGTTCCAACACCCAGAAACTTACCCAAGTCTGTGTGACATTCCTCTGAGCAAGAAAAGAGGATTACTGATGATCAAATGCAAATGAATGAAGCATTTCAGTCAAGAACCTAGAGGTGGTATTTACCTGAGGAAGTTCACTGTGAGGTGGGAGTGGGTTTTGGTTTTGTTTTAATTGGTGCTGATTCAGACACATCCTGAGGCATTGCTCCTACCCCAAGGAAGAGGAGGGGATGGCTTGCTTCTTTCCAGATTAATCATAATTTCTGTGGGAATGGTAAAACCAGATCTCCCATAAATCTCCAAGAGGAAGTAGATAAAACCATCAACATGTTTCTCCCTTGCTGATTCCAGTAGTAAAAATTTTGTTGACTTGAGCAAGGAGAGCTCCCTTGGTAATTTCATCAGAGACACAAGGTCACCTCTGTCCATTTATTGAAAAAGTGGCTTTTGTGGGCTCTGCTGCCAGGCAGGGAGGGAATTCCACCTCTGGCATGGGGAGTCAGGCCAGGCAGGTGGTTCAGCTGTGAATCTGGTCAAATATCACACTGCCTCAAGTTTGATTTAACGGGAAATCCTAACATGGGACAACGAAACACAATCTGCTTCTCAGGAGAAGCATCTGAACTCTGGAATGTAATGTGAGGTGAAATTAAGACCAAAAAGTTTTGTATCACTAGAATTTTCTGTCTCAGTCTTGATTTGTTTCTGCTGTGTTCTATTTTTAGGGGGTTGGGCTGAGAAATTTGCTGAGGGGTTGTTCTGGTTCGTGATGGCATGTTAATGTCAAATCCGTATTTTAAGCAGTTCTTGAAAACTTCTATTAAAATTCCCACGGGTATCAGCCCTTAAATACATATTTTTAAAGGTTGTGTCACAGTAACTTCAGGAGGAGACGTAGGGAAAATGAAAGATCCACGCTGATTTCCGCTGGAAGTTGAAAGAGTTTTAGGAGAAGTGAAGAATGAGAAAGTCACAATGCTACGCTTGTCCTTGATGTAGGTGGAGTCCGCTGGGCTGGGGCTGAGAGTAGTGAGAAATTCCTGATATATGGCAGATATAGGACATGAAACAGGCTGTTAACTGTGAGAATACAATCCCCTCCAAATGCATAATCTGTTTCTCGTGGAAGACATGTGGCCCGCTATAGAAGTTTTAGGTCAACTGATTCGGTTGGAGATTAGTCTCGATGTTCTGAAAGGGAAGACTGTGGTTACTTAGGGGACTTTAATTCCTCATAAAGGATTATACTGGGGCACCACACCACTGCCACGGTGTCAAATCTTTTTTGTGGGTTTGCTAAATTACCCTTTGTAATGGAAAAGCTTATTATGTGCTTCCAGTCAAAGGAAGAGACGGGTTTGAGTTGGTAGCAACTTAAAATGCCAGTGATTAGGGTCCTAATCTAATATTCATAGTTTTGGGGCTTTTCTTTTATTTCTTCTTAAAGCATATTTCTCTACTGTATTGCAAGTGACTTGCTGAGAATTTCAGGAAGAATTTCTTGGTGGAAAGGATGGCCAAGCATTGGTGGGGGTGCTCAGGGAGGTGGTGGAGCCCCCATCCCTGGAGGTGTCCAAGGAAGGGCTGGATGTGTGCTCTGTGCTGGTTGATGGGGTGGTGATCAGTCAAAGCTTGGACCTGAGAATCCTAGAGGTCTTTTTCAAGCTGATTCTGTGTCTCTGTGATGAGTCCTGCTCTGATTTAACACCCTGTGTGGGGTACCTAAAACAGGAAAGTCTGTCAGAGGGACAGGAACACGTGCAGGTCACGAGGGCGAAGGTAGAGCAGTTACTAAAGGTAAAACAATTATTTGTGAAACTCTGGGAAAAGTGACTTTAATGTTAAATCTCACAGTTGTAGGTAGGGAGAGGAAAGGTTTCAGTTTTAGGTAATGATATCTATGTTATCCCATGTTTGCAGATACTGAGTCTGTATTTTTGGTTGCATGTTGATGGCAGTATATATTTTTTATCCTCCCTCAAGTGTTTTTTTACAATATTTACTGCCTGGTGCATAGTGCAAATAATTGGTGGTACATTCTAATATTTGAGTCCCTTACAGGCTTAACAGGATTGGGAGAGAGCTGGTTCTCATTACACCAAAGAGGTAGAATGAAGGACTTTGTCCCTACTGATCCTTAATTTAAATTTTATTAAATATTAAATTTAAAGTTTATTAAATATTGGCATGTCTGAAAGGCCTGATTGTTCCTTGCACTTTCCCTTCAGATGCTGCTGTGGATGGTGAGATTGGTGTGAAGGACAAGCTGGTTGACCTTGTGGGGGTGCCATGGATTTCTCTCTTCAAGTGATAGATTGTCCTTGCTTCCCTTTTCAGGACTTGTGCCATAAACAGGCAGTGTGGATATTCTGCTATTTTCACACCTGTGCTACCTCATGGCTTCCAAACAACTTGTTTCCTTTAGGTCCAGAGCAAGATTTTTAGTGAAAAATTACTGGCCTGTTTAAAAAAAAAAAAAAAGGCACTCAAGAAAATAGTTATTTAGATCCATTTAATCAGTTACATTTTCTGCCACGAAAACAGTGGGATCAGATATTTCTAGAGAGGTTTTGTGGCTACTGCATTCCCCTGGGCTGGGGTGTGCTCGGGGGAGAGGATTTGCTGTGGATTTTGGAGACCCCACAGCAGCGTGACAATGGTTTTGGTGCAAAGTTTGCTCTCTTGTGGCATAGGAGGAGGGTGAGTTGAGAATGGTGACAAGAAGAAAATTTAAAGAGAGTAAGTGGAGATGAAAACAAATAATGAAGTCAGGAAAAAAGAGAAATCAGAAGATAAGCCACAATTCTTTTTATTTTTCTAGGAGCTTGCAGACAGTGTGATTTATTTTTTTTTACAGCATTTCCATGTTCCAGCCACAGCCTGTGCTGATGCTCAGAGGTCTGGGATAGTTTACATGTGGGATGTACATATGCCTGCATATCCACCAGTGTGGCAAAATGGAGTGCCAAATCCTCTGCATGTAAATGGATTTTCCACCCTTCTGTTTTGGTTTTAACTGAACCACATAAACATTGTCAACATATGAGATTGGTTTTTGACACCTTACTTAGCATTTTTTTAATAATTTAATGCTTTAGCTAGAAGCACTGGCAATTAAAATAAAGTAAGCAAGCAAAAAAACCAAAAAATAACAAAAGGGAAAGAGATCCTGAAAAATATAAATGCTGGTCAGGGCTTTCTCCACCTTCCTTACACAGCTTTTATGCCTTTACATGGAAATTCTGCAGGGCAAGGTGGATGCAACTGGTCCAAATCTGGAATTCTCATTGGAGCACAGTTTGCTTACACTTAGAGTAACATGCAGTTAAGGCTTTTTATAAAGGTTTACTGGCAAAGATAATTAACTCAGAAATAAATTGAAATGCTTGAAGGAGGTGGTGTTGTCACTTTAAAACATCCTTGCCTGAGGATGTAATTATTGTGGCACAAAAGTTTTGAAATGGATCAATCTAAATTAGAAAAAAACCCTGCATGTTCTTAATCTGGAATAAGTGTCTCCCTAGAAATTGTTTTTACAGTTTTACTGTGGTCAGTCTTCCTGTCTAGAAAAGTTAGAGTTTAGAGTTCCTCTGGCAGGAGAGTTCTTGTGGCAAGAGAATGAAGAAGCTTTATGTATCTCCTTTTGCTGAGTTTCTTGTCATACAAGACATTTTTTCCGTTTCTTTCATGGAAAAAGGCAAAGGTCTTTGAGATTTTGGCTATTGCTCTCTCTAAGAAGTTTTGGTGAGAGGGCAGAATTTTGGCAGTGAAACTGCAGTGATTGGAGGCCAGGACAAGACTGTTAGCTGTGGGATATTGGATATTTTAGCAGCAGCCTGGTAAAATGCTCAGAGGAGACACTCAGAGAATGGCAGCAAGGCTTCATAGCCCTGTTTAAAAATCATCCTGTGGTGATCCAAGAGCGTGAGACCCTGTAATCCCATTTGTATCATGGCAGGAAGCTGCTGCTCCCACTCACAATTTGACTTTTGATAGTTATTTTTGCTAGTTACTGCAGCGTGCTGATGCTGGCATCAACCTCTCAGGAGCTGGCTGTTCACAGCGCCCGTTTGTCATCAACATTCAGTGGAAAGGAACTTCCATCACTCCCCAGATGTGATTAAGGGTTCAGTGAACTTGTCTTTCTTCTTCCAGGTTATAAGACCCTTTTGAAAGGAATTTCAGGGAAGTTCAGCAGTGGAGAACTCGTTGCAATTATGGGACCTTCAGGAGCTGGGAAGTCAACGCTTATGAATATTCTGGCAGGATACAGGTCAGTATCAATGAGGATCCCAAGGTGAGATTACCAACCCTGAGGGCTCCTTGGAGACAACAGCAGAAGAAATTTTAGCCTAGAGTTTGTCAAAAACAGGCAAATTCATAGATTTTGAATTAAATTCTTATTGCTAATCTTTTTTTTCCCCTCTGTGTCCCATTTTGGTCACTTGGGATTTATCTCTTAAGGGGTCTGATCCAAAAATAAGAAGAAATTTAAAATCAAAAAGCATGTTTATGAAGAAAATCTTCTTTTTTGGCTGTGTAACAAATCTGACTCAGTGTCTTATGTTTGTGATGTTTTTTAAATCACATAAACACTTGAAAAATCTACTCTTTTTAGTCACCACTTCAAAATGTTGATGTCTTCCTCACCAAAATGCAGTTACTTTTATCTTTCTAAACCCCCTCTTGTACGGCCATACAAGGTGTCTCTGCCTTGTCATTTGGGGCATAAGGAACAGGACAGAGAAACCTAAAATAACACCAACTTTAATTTCTTGATTTTTTTTCAGATATTTTTTTCAGATATACGACAGAACGCATTTTGAGTAAAATTTTCAGCATCTTGGCATGAAGCTTTATGTGAAAGAAAGCGTAATCAGGAAATAATTTAATTTCTATCCAGTCTACCAAATTTATTTCGTAGTGGCAATAAGTACCTAAGACCTCCAGGTGCTCAGTCATGTGGCAGCACAAGTGAGGGCTGAGATTCACCTCTGTTTTGATGTTTGGTTTCAGAGAGACGGGGATGAAAGGAGAAATCCTCATCAACGGGCAGCCCCGCGACCTGCGCTCCTTCCGCAAAGTCTCCTGCTACATCATGCAGGATGACATGCTCCTCCCTCACCTCACTGTCCAGGAAGCTATGATGGTGAGCTTTGTTCCTTCCTCTCATTTATCTGAGCAGGAGAAAATGGAAGGTGGTTTTTGTTGTGCCCTTGGTTTTACCCCTGGCAGTGCCGCACGGTGTTATCCCTGCCTGATCCCGCTCCATCAAAGTTCTTGGAGTTTGGTGATGCCTTGGATTCCATTTCAGGCTCATCCTTCTAGGGATTCTTTGGCTTTATAATTTCCAGTTTGTGCCCAGCATTATGATTTGGAAGGAGATCTAAGTGTCTGCTCCTTAGATCTCCTAGAGAACAGAACCTGAAATTCTTCACAAATGAGCCTTGGTAGGGACCATCTGTTTGCATGGGTGGTGGATGAGTAACCTCATCTCTCTTTTTCTCCCCATCTTTCATCTTCTGACTGAAAATCGTTATTTACACTTCAGTGTGATCTCTCTGCCACTTCTACTCTTTTGTGCCTTTTTAAAAATAAAGGCATTTTACAAAATCTCATTTCTTCATGGGAAAAAAAGCAACCAGGAACAGAATAAGTCCAAGATGTACAGGCAGTGTAAATTCTTCTCATTGTTTTGCGTCGCATCAGGAAGTTTATGAATTGCCAACTTGACCAGTTAGTCTGGAAGTGTCTGTAGCTCAGCTTGAGAAGTGAGCCAGTTTTTCTCAGAAATTGTTATCAAAAATAAAGCTTGGGTTGCTCACACTGTGCCAGCTCAATTCACAAATTTTAAGGCCAGAAGAAATCATTCCAGTTTTTATGCGGCTAATTTTTTGCAAAGGCTCTGTTCTGTGGAGAAGTTTTTCTTCTCTTTTGTTTACTTGAGTGTTTTAATCAGAATCCCATGGGACCACTTTTGCAGAATTGGGCCCAGATTATACTTGCTGTCTAAAATTAATCAATCAAGGCTCTGCCAAAAAATAATTACTTAACAGTTTAATTGCTTTTAATAAAGGTTAATCATGATGTTTTGTGGAGCTGCCTCTCAGGACAGCAGATGTCATCTTTTCACAAGATTATTTATTTCTGCACTCACTTGTTTGCATCCTGGAGAATGGCAGAGTTCATTTATCCTTACAGTGTGAATGAAGCACAAATAAACTGTGTTTTTAGAATTGCCTAGGAAGTTTTTGGGTGTGCAAAATATGTCACTCTCCCATCTTCCTGTAAAGCTCTTTGTTTTGCAGAATGGCCTTTTTTTTCGAATACACTTTTTGTCGGGTGCTTTGCCTAAGTCAAATTAGACTCAGTTATTTACTGCACAGAAAAATGTGATGCTTGTGGCTGGAACATTGTTGTTCAAGTTTAGGTTTTCTGACTGGGTTGAGAGAAGTTGTTTAAATGGTATCTTGGAGTGTTGTGCCTGAGACATCTACTCTAAAATCAAAATCCATTGTTTTACATTCCAGGTATCTGCTCATCTGAAACTTCAAGAGAAGGATGAAGGGAGGAGAGAAATGGTATGTACACTGCCCATCAAACTAGAATTTGGGGGATGCCAAGAAGTGGGCTCTGTAAAGCAGACATTTTTTACCTAATACTGAGCAGAATTAATACAGAATAAATACAGAATAAATCATAACCTCTGGGCTGACAAATGTCATTAGGAGGGAATGTTCACTGCAGTCTCCATGAAAGCTACTTTCAGTATGAGACTGGAAAATTGTAAAAGATATACTGAAACAAATTGCACAGGTTTTGCAGGATTCCTGTCCATGCACCTTAGCACCTTGGATTCTCCTGTGTCTGAGGGCTCAGGAGAGTGAGATAAATCACCCAGCTGGACCTGCACTAGGAACTGTGCTCCTCTAACCCATCCATGGGGAAAAGCACCTCTTTTCCTCAAATATGACAACTGTGGCAATTTCCTAGGTAGAGCAGCTGTTTTTGTGACTGTCCTTTGTCTGTTTCCAAATTGGAGCTATTGGCATTTCTTCAGACTCAAAAGAATCCTTGAAAATCAGAAAGGGAAGCTTACAGGAATCAGCTTATGTTTGGTAAACACAGGTTGCTTTTTTATTGGAAAAGAAATTGATATAGAAACAGCTGTTAACTTAGTTGTACTTCAGAAGCCTTAGCTCATTTACACTCTAGTGAAGTTAGGCCAAGCAAGTTAATTCACTTGTTCACACTGTCACTGTAATTACAAGCAGCTCTTTGAATTAAAAACTGTGCTGTGTTTATTCAACACTTGTTAGAAGAATTTTCTGGTTAGTGTTACTGGCCTGAGCAGGAGAAGATAATTCATTTTATTGTTGTAAATTGGAGTGTAAATGTTTATCATAGATAAATGTTATGAATTTATATACTTGTGCTAGCAGGATTGCAGACTCTTGTTTAAAGCAGGGACAAGTGAAAATCGTCCAGTGAACCACAGTTTATGTTTCTAGCTGTCCTTGCTTGTGCTTCCTGAGTCCTGTTTACCCTCCCCAGAGATAAAGAGAATGAGGGAGTTGAGCTTTTTTTCTCTGAGAATCAAGGCTTAGTGGGTTTTGCTATTTTTTTATTCTCTCCTACTGGGAAAGGGAACTCCTGGAAATCAAAATCAGGACAAGCAAAGGGTCAGGCCCTGGTTGGTCTCACCAACTTTCACCAGGTCAGGCACTCTTTCTGGAAAACTCTCTATCCAAGCAGTAGGTATTTGAAAAATGATGGGCTCTGTTTCCTCAGTGAAGTATTAAGTGTCTGGGCTGCTTTCTACCTCTGAAGTGGTGGAAGTTTTTAACTGCACGAGCAGTGTAGCTCATGGATTCACTCATTTTTGTGTCCATGCTTTTACTGAGGCCAGAGAGCTATTTCCCTTATATAGGGCTACCAGACTAGACCTACAGCCACTGAAACAGAAAAAAATCATAGTTCCTGGGATTGTTCTCCTTTTGCTCCCAAAACCCTGGGAGGAGCTGTGCCCTTCCTGAGGCTGTGCCCTGAGGAAATCCCGAACATCTGAGAGCACCTGTGACAACTGCATTGGCTCTGAGGGGAGTGAAAACACTTGAAATCAATGGCTGCACTTGAAAGAGGAGACTGTGGAGAACAGAGGAGATAAAGCAGGTCACTGCTCTACAGAAACCACTGGGTTTTGTTACAGAGTCCCTTGCAGAGACAACCCCAGAGTTCTATTGAAAGAAGCTGCTTGGTTTCACTGTGTAAGAGCCCCTCACGTGCTGCAGAGCTCTTCTGATGTAAGTGCCACATCCATAAATACACAGCTACAGAAGAACTGGCTTCCACTCCTTTTTCACCTCTTTACTGAGTGAGGTCATGTAGGACAAACAAGCAGAATTTGGGTCAAAGCAGTAAATGGTACTGAGTCTAATAAATGTTACATTAGATGGAAAAAAGGCTTCAAGTGTGTGGGTGATGAAACAAAGTCGTGAGCTGGTTCGCAACCTCCATGAAAATCAGTGCAGAGGCTGGAGGGGGTTTTGTGCTCATTTTATGTGGAATGTTCTGTTCCCTCCAGGTGAAGGAAATCCTGACAGCCCTGGGTTTGCTGACGTGTGCCAACACAAGGACTGGGAGTCTTTCTGGAGGCCAGAGGAAGCGTCTTGCCATTGCTTTGGAGCTGGTGAACAACCCTCCTGTCATGTTCTTTGATGAACCAACCAGGTACTTCTAGGCCAAAAATTAAAGCTAGACAAATATGGTTTTGCACAGTAGAACACAGCTACAGAAAAGTTATTCATCTCCAAATCCTTGGGAAAGGCTCATTTGGTGTTGCCTGCAAGCACTGAAAGAGGCCAAGAAATAACTTGATTTGAATTCTTGGTGCCTTGGGTCACTGTTGCAACTGCTGGACTGTGGGGCTGTAAATAATATTTAAAGCAGACACAAACTGCAGGAGGAGGGAGAAGAGAGAGAAAAATATTGTGGCATGGGTTTTCTTTTTTGAGCGAAGACAGCTTGAATATAAACATTTTAAAATGTGACTTTTGGTAATGAATGTGATCAATCTGGGAAGAGGCTGGGAAAGCCATGAATATGTATCTATTCATTAGAGTTGGGAGCATTTAAATCTGCAGCCCTAAAATGTAAAAGTCCCTTAAGGCAGCTTTGAGAATACTCTTTTTCATTCTCAGGCATGCTTCCAACTTAATTAAAAGCCTGATGGAGAAACACAAGCATAAGGTTGGCATATGATAAAATGAAACTGCTACAGAGAAAACTTGTAAAAGGATAATAATGGGAAACCAAGTAGCAAATGCATGTGCTAGTTTTGAGTGGTGCCTGTGGATAACAAACTTATTTGTTTTTTATTTTCCAGTGGCTTGGACAGTGCATCATGTTTCCAGGTGGTCTCTCTGATGAAGGCTTTGGCCCAGGGTGGCAGGTCCATCATCTGCACGATTCACCAGCCCAGTGCAAAGCTGTTCGAGCTCTTTGACCAGGTACTGCTCTCAGACTTTCTCTTCATGGGTAGTTTAGGGTGGTTATGCTTTCAAGGCTACACTCTTCAATCTGAAAACATGACTGAGCTGTGTAGTTGACGGCTACAAATCATATAAAGAAATTAAATAAATAACAGCAAAATACACTTTTTGATTGTGGTTTGGTTTTTTTTCCCTTCTTCTCTGCCTGTTTCCTTTGTTTACACGTAGTGTTTGTGAAGAATCTTGCTGTTAGGTTTGTGAAATCATGGCTGTTGCACTGGTGATTGTCACACCTTCACCCAGCGCTGCTCCTGTGCTCAGGGCTGTCACTGAAGTGAATTACAGCAATATAAAAGCAGGAGGGCTGCAGTGCCAATGTCTGCAATGTTGCAAGTGTATATTCTCGTCCTAGATACACAGGTGTAGATTGAGAAGAGTTAATTCACATGAAATGATAATAATCGAATTTAGTATTGATAATTAATTGAAATTAAGTCAGTTGGAGAGCTTTTCTCCAAGCTAACAATGGCATGTGGACCATGTGTGTTTAGATTAGATAAAAATGTATTTTAGTCTTGTTAGAGGACTTAGATTAGTCCTGTGGGAGCTGAGAGAAAACCTCCACCACCACAGGTGAACAAACTCTTGCAGATTGCCAGTCTGGCAGGGAGGTTTATTTAAAGTCAATATCGTGGCTAAAAGTGAGAGTGATTGAGCTGTTTGCTGTTGCTGTGCTGTCCCAGCTCTCCTTCCATTCCTGCGTTCACCAGCCTCATCTCCCAGCCCAAAATAGCCATAATGTGTGGAAATTAGATGGCTTGGCTCTCCAGCTCCTTGCCTATTTTCAGCATGTGCCAAAGGCTGGAATTAGTGTGTTTCTGTGTTAATGTGTTTGAAGTCCTGCAGGCAACGTGTGCAGAATTCAAACTCCAGGCATTAAATTTTCCATTAGCTGTAATTCCGTGCAAAGTTAATTTCAAGTGGTGACAGATCTTCCCAAGGTGCTCTTCTCACAGGGACAAGGAGATGTTATTATGCAACAGGCTCAAATATTTTTGATACTATTTCACTTTTTTCTTTATTTCTTTTTCTTCTATTTTCTTTTTTTTTTTTTTTTTTTTTTTTTTTTTTTTTTTTTTTTTCCTTTTCTTCTTGTTTTCCAGCTCTATGTTCTAAGTCAAGGTCAGTGCATTTACCGTGGGAAGGTAACAAATCTCGTCCCTTACCTGAGAGATTTGGGGTTGAATTGTCCAACCTACCACAACCCAGCAGATTTTGGTAAGGACAGCTTGAATAGTTTATTTCATTTATTTTGTATTTTATCACCACCTTCAGGGTAAAGGGAGCCATGGTGTGATTTATACTTCTGTACATATATTCTTATGTGCTTTGTTCATATATGAACCAAAATTCAAAATAAATTTTTTTCCCTGAGTAATTTGAATGCCATCTAGTGGTACAATTTAGTTTATATTTCACTCTCTTAGAAGTCCAGGTTCAGGAAATTAAAGATAAAGCATAATCTTTAGTGTTTCATAATAACTAATATTAGTGGCTTTTTTAAGTGGCTCCAGTATTTTGCATGGGGTTTTTTTATCTTGAGCAGTACTACTGTGGTTAGAGCATTGAGGGTTTTTTCAGTGTTGTTTCTTAATGAAAAAAGAATGGAAAGTGCCATAAAAGTAGACTTTTGTCATTTTTTGTTACCTGTATTCATTGCCTTTCCTCTGAACTGTTTCATTGAACATCCAGGATAAAGAGACCTCTCTGAAGATTTATGGGCAGATGCATTTAAATGTTAATTATATAGACACGAATTTGCACGTGTTTTAAAAAAAAAAAAAAACCTACTGAAAAAAACCTGAAACTACTGAAAAAAAAATACCTGTTTTTGCCAGTGCTGCAGCATCAAGGGGATTTAACACCGAGGCTGGTACGTGGTGAGCAGTGCAAAGCAGTGACTTGGACCTTTGCAAGGCTAACTCAAACTCTCTGTTGTTGTAGTTATGGAAGTGGCCTCTGGTGAGTACGGGGACCAGAACAGCCGCCTGGTCAGGGCTGTGAGGGAGAGGATTTGTGACACAGACTACAAGAGAGACGTGGCTGGGGAGCACGAGCTGAACCCCTTCCTCTGGCACCGGCCCTCTGAAGAGGTATTTTGGGCACCTCAGCTCATGGGGCTGCAGGGGAGGGGGGAAATTCAAACCCTCGGCCGGTGGAGGAGTCTCTGGGCACACTCAGCTGATGTGAGTGGGCTTTTGTGAATGAAAACCAAAGCAGATACTGCGAAGGAAGCAGTTTATTCTGTGGTGTGTTTCTGCAGGACTCCTCCTCCACAGAAGGGTGCCACAGCTTCTCTGCCAGCTGCCTAACCCAGTTCTGCATCCTCTTCAAAAGAACTTTCCTCACCATCATGAGGGACTCGGTAAGAATGGCTTTATAATAACTTCTGCAGCCAAAAGTTCAGCTGGGTGTGAGGAAGTGCAATGCACCTCAAAGGTCCTGTCCAGCAGCCCATCCATGAATTATCACAGAATTTCAAAGGGGAGAGGCTGATCTTTCAGTCTTGCTGTTAACTCTGCCGTCTTCATTGTGAACGACATCGTTCTACACAGCACTCAGAAGTACCTGGCCTAAAAACCCAAAGTTTAAACCCCCTCTGTGCTGGCAGGTCCCTTATACAGTTATTAATCCTACTGAAAAGTGAGTGGGAAGTTTTAGTGCTCTGTCACAAAATGAGGTTTTCCAGAAAATTTGGGATGGTGGAGAAAATAATTTCAGTGTGATATAAAGTTACTACTTAAAGTCTTCATTTTTGGAAGTAGAAAATAGGTAGATAAAAAGTTTGCTTCTTTGCCATAACTTGTTCTCCCTTCCTGCTTTTTATAAGTGCATTTGTCAACAAGGATTAATTAAGTTAATTAATTAAGATCAGGAGAAACTGTAGCTGATTTGCTGATGTATAGATTGAAAGACAATGTTGTTTTTAATATATTTTTTTTTTTCCTGCTAGACTCCAAAGGTTTGCATTTGTTCCCAATGTTATTATTTCTTTTGTTCTTCCAAGCCTCTTGTGGGAATACTGTGTAGCAGAGAAGGCACAGAAAGCTATTTTATTCCTGGTGAAGTTACTTTGGTCTATACAAGCCTGAAATGCTTTTCCTGCTTCTCTTCTGCTCTGGGGAAATTTATCTTTTTAGTCAGAAAGTCTCCTTCCCCTGATGAATAAGAGGCAGTGGATCCATGATATTGTCAGAGAGTGAGATTTCAGGTTGCAGCATTTGCAGTTCCTATATTACCTGGAAGAAATTTCTGTGGGAAACTCATAATTTTTCTTACCCAGTAGCAAATGAACATTTCTCATGGCAGGGCACTGGGACTAGGGGATCTTTAAGGCCCCTTCCAACCCAAACCATTCAATGATTTCTATGTAAGATTTTCTGGACATAAGTGCTGCTTTCCTGCAATCTGATTTCAGCCACACTGACATTATCTTTGAGCCCAGACTTTGCACTAAATGCCTCTTTGCTTACCCCAGGTCCTGACACACTTGCGGATCACCTCACACATTGGCATTGGGCTGCTCATTGGATTGCTCTACCTGGGCATTGGCAATGAAGCCAAGAAAGTCCTCAGCAACTCGGGATTCCTCTTTTTTTCCATGTTGTTCCTCATGTTTGCTGCGCTCATGCCGACTGTCCTCACCTGTGAGTGCTGGGCACTGTGTCACAGCACAGGGGAGGGGGTTGCAGGGAGGTGGGAGGCTCTTGGAATGTCTCTGGTTTTTTATAAGATAGAATTTGGCTTGTGATTCTATTTCTAAGACAGGTGGGGGGATAAATCTTGCAGCCACAGAAGCACTGCTGTGCCAGCAGAAACAGCCTTGGCCAGCAGCACTTCTCCCTCCCCACTTTTTCCAGTGTTTTTCAGCACAGACAGTTCAGTGTTACAGTCCTGGACTGGAATTTTCTCCTTATCCCAGTGCATCTTAGCCATGCCCTGAGCTCGTGGATAGATTTAGGGAGGATGGAATAATTTCTGTGGGGCTTCCAAGTTATGACTCCTGCATAAAATCAGGTTGTTCATGTGGTGTCAGAAGCAAACTCCTGCAGAATGTTGTGTACTTGCTTTGGGAGTGCTGGCACTTTGGATTCCCTCTTGGACCAAAAGGAATAGCCAAGTTCTTTAGGTCTGGAAACCACTTTTAATTGAAAAATCCTCTTTAAGGGGGGTTCAGATCATCTGAGTAGACCGGTCCATAGTCTCAACAGGGAGTGGTTTTAGGGGCTGACCTCTCAGATTTCATTACAAGTCACTGAAACTTTTGCTGCTCTGTCAAAGACCTGAGAGTTCCAGTCCCACCCTGGGACAGCAGCAGTGCAGGATGAGATGTGGGTGAGCTGTGTTGTTGTTGTGTGCAGCAGTATTGCACCCTGCCAGTCTAACTGAATAACCTGTGTTCCCTGCAGTTCCCCTCGAGATGGGAGTATTTCTCAGAGAGCATCTGAACTACTGGTACAGCCTGAAAGCCTATTACCTCGCCAAAACCATGGCTGATGTTCCTTTTCAGGTACATGCTTGACTCTTCAGTGAAACAGAACCATTTAAGTTCATGAATGACAAGCCCACTTGCCAAGAAGATTAGTACTGGTGTTCTATCCATTGGAATACTGGGGAAAATGCACATCTGTGTCTGGTGAAGTTTCAGGGATGAATCAGAAGCACCCTGAGAGTGCAGGACTTCACAAAAGCTGAGACCTGACCCAACACTCTTTTAATAAACACATGACCAGCTTTGCTTATTTGCAGGAGGGGAACTGTGAAGGGATGGGAGTGGAGTTTCCAAATGCCCAAGTAGAAAGACAAATATCACACGCCTGTCATGTAATGGAAAGGCTGAGAGCTGTGGATCAATTAGAACCCCACCAGGATTTTGTCTTGCCCAGAGCAGCAGTGAATGCCTGGCTGTCAGGGGCTAACTCCCAGTGTGTGTCCTTGCAGATCATGTTCCCTGTGGCTTACTGCAGCATCGTGTACTGGATGACTTCCCAGCCCTCCGACGCGCTCCGCTTCGTCCTCTTCGCAGCCCTGGGCACCATGACATCCCTGGTGGCTCAGTCCCTGGGCCTGCTCATAGGTGCAGCCTCCACATCCCTCCAGGTACTGGTGGAGTTTGGTGGCCTCACAGCAGCTCTGCTCCCTGTCACTGCTGCTGTGTCCCCAGGATGGTGGCTGAGAGCAGGCAGGCAGGAAGTTTCTTGCTGTAGTAGAGCTCTTGAGGCTCCCCACTCACACAGGGGCACAGACGAGCCCTGGCTGTGAGGCTCTGAAGTTCCTGCCCCACCTGAAGGGGCTGTGCCTGCCCCTGCTTGGGTGGATTGTCACTTGGTGTTCACCCCAGACTGAGCAGGTCCTGGAAACTGCAGGACTGGTGTGCTTCTGCATCCCCACAAACTGGAAATTTTCCACAATAGGAGAAGGTTCTTCCATGCACACCCAAAAAAGCTGTAGAAGGAAAGGTAGGAAAAGGCTTGCCCAAAACCCCAAATTTCTGGAAAGGGAGGGAGAGTGGCAGCTGTTGGCATGACTGGAAGCTGGCTGTGTAACTCCTGGCAGGAGATGTGCTGAGGTGACCATTCCACAGCAGAACAGATGATTCTGACCTCAATATGCCTTGATGCTGTCAAGATTTCTGCAGTAGAACACCTGATTCCCTCTCTGTGCCAGCCTGTGGAGACCAGCATAGCCTTACTGTGTGATTCCTGTGCTTCTGCTCTTCCCCTCACAAGAAAAAGAAAAATCAGCAATTTTCTAGTATTTCAAAATGTGATAATTTGGAGGAGTAGAATTATTCCTAAGAGTAACAGAATAGCAAGATAATTTTTACTTTTTGTCTGTCTTTCTGACAAGAGACACTTTATTTCTTCTCTTCACAGGTGGCAACTTTTGTGGGCCCAGTTACTGCCATCCCAGTCCTTCTTTTCTCTGGGTTTTTTGTCAGCTTTGATACCATCCCAACATACCTCCAATGGATGTCCTACATTTCCTATGTCAGGTACTGCTGGGGAGGCCTTCACCCTCCCATCTGGAAATGCTGTTTGTTTGCCTTTGCTTGGTTATTTTATTTTATTTTATTTTATTTTATTTTATTTTATTTTATTTTATTTTATTTTATTTTATTTTATTTTTTGTGCCAAAGAGACTGTTCACAGCATGTTCTTCTAGGGCATAAACATACTCATGCCTGTGATGCAAACCACATTATCTCTCTGCATTTTAAGTTGTATATGTTGTGAAATAAATAGGAACAGGTTACTGGCCACAAGTCCACGCCCTTTGAATTCAGTGGGACTGCGCAGCATGAAAATCTTCCTGGATTTTGCTGTGGTAGATTTATGAAATAACAGGTACATCACCAACTGAGAAATTGATGCCAGCGCCTCCTTTTGGAAGAAAATGTTGTATAATTCACTGCTTTATCCTAGATAGGTTTGTTGGATACAGGCCTGTGTTTAAGTTTTGCAGTAGCAGTGCCACAAAAGACAGAGGATTTGTGTCACCTCTAATTTAAACTGCTGCTTTAAGATCCATAGGCACCTTATGTGTTGTCTGTGTCTGACACAGCTATTTTAGGATGGGACAATTCCCACCAGGAAACCTCTGGAGGGATAGTTTAGATTAGACACTGAAATGTTTATAGCTGAAATTAGAGAGGGGAATTTCCCATTCCCCATTTCCCCACCCTGCCCAAGCTGCACTTATTACCTGAGAAATCCCAGGCAAAAAAAAAATCCTCTTTGTCACCAAGTGAGGTCCTACACAAATTCCTATCAAAGACAATGAGACTGCACCCCCTGAATTAATACTCAGAATTCAAAGGGAGCCCTTAAACCACTGCCTGGCTCGTGTGGGGCCTCCTGAAGCCAGAGGGAGCTTTCATATGCATGAGATCCATGATGGTTTATCTCCTTGCAGAAGCAAATCCTGGGAGCATTATCAGTGAAACCATTAGTGCACAGAGAGAAGGAGAAGGGGCCTTCTAGGTTGATGCTGGTTTTAACATAATTCTGACTTCAAGCCATGATTGTGTCCCTGTTGCTTGTTCAAAAAAAACAAAAAAGGCAAAATAATGATGTCACTGTGAAATGGGGAATGTCTGAATATGAGCTGAAATTATGCTGCTTTCTGATTTAACATTTTTCTCTTGCAGAAATTGCACTGTGCACTAACTGGGAGCAGTTAAAGGCAAAACTCCTGCCCTTGTTCCCTCTTACGTAAAATGCCCGTGACATGTGATGTGTCTGATTGCAACAGGGATAGAACTGTGCCCCAAGACAGATGTGTCAGAGCAATATTGAACCCCTCAGCGTTTCAGCTGAGCTCTCACAGGGATTGTGTTGCACTTTTAACCAGATCATCAGGATTGTCCCTGTAATCCCTCCTTCTTCTTTCCAGATATGGGTTCGAAGGAGTCATCCTCTCCATCTATGGACTGGACCGAGAAGATCTGCATTGTGACAAAGATGACACCTGCCACTTTCAAAAATCAGAGGCCATCCTGAAAGAACTGGATGTAGAAAATGCCAAACTTTACCTGGACTTCATTGTTCTTGGGATTTTCTTCTTCTCTCTGCGCCTGATTGCCTATTTTGTCCTCAGATACAAAATCCGAGCGGAGAGGTAAAGGAAAAGCAGCTAAGCCAATGCAGTAGGAGAACTTTAGACATGCAATAGAGGGCACTTGACATTGTCTCACTGTGGCAGGCTGGGCCCCAGTGCCCAGCCAGATGCTGACCGAGCCCATGGAGAGCCACAATGGGATAGTGGACATACAGTGTTAAGCCAATCAGTCCAGTTGGGTTGGGTCATGTTTTCATTACACTTTCTAGCTTTAACTAGGAAGAAGAACTAGAAGGGAATTTTACACCACAGAATATCAATACTGAGGCAGTGTAACTTGTACAAGAAACCTGGCTGCAGGAGCTTTCCTTATGAAAACCAATTTTGGAATAAGGTCACCGGGATACCAGTCCTGGTGGCCAGAATAGTGTAATGTCATCTCTAGTTGACAAGGTAGTGAGATGCAAAATGAGGAATGCAAAGAAAATAGGATTCTCTCATCTTTTTGAATTTCATCTTTGCAGTTTTCTATGTATTATTTTGCAATTCTTTTCCACAGAATTACCCCTTCTGGCTAAAAGTCTGTAAATGTATTAATAAGGTAAAGATATCTTTTTAATACGGATACTTTTTTAAAAGAAACCTAAAGTGATTCAAGTAATTATTTTTGTTTCTGTCTGAATTTAGAATTCTGGTGCTTTACTTGTCGAGCTGGTCTCATATCTGAAAACTGTAATGACAGGAAGAAAAGGCAGATTCTGAATCTGCAAAAACCTGTGGTCCCATTTGGAAGCAGCACTGGATAGCACATGCAGTTAGACATGGTCAAGCTGTCACTGAATGGTTAAAAAAAAGATTCTTTTTCAGTGTCTTCAAATCCTTAGTATTTGTGATATTTTGGGATACTAGCTGTGTTCATTGATCTACCTCCTGCAACTGAAAAAAAAAAAAATCAAAGCACTCCAAGGCTCATTTTTAATTAAATTTTGAAAGCAGGATCTGTCCCTAAAGTGATTGTTAAAGGAGTGCAAGAGCCTGTGACTGCCTCATCCAGAGGTGTTCATTTATATCTGCAACACACTGTGTAGGACTCTCCAAAATATACACAAATGACTTGTAACACTGCAGGTCTAGGTATGCCAGGCAGTTCTGTTCTCATCCCTAAGTCTACATAAACAACATGAGAATCAGTTGAACTGAACATCAATGAAACTGTTATTTTGGGTATGTCACCTCTGTAAATTTGGCAGGGGGGAATTCTGGTCTTAATTTTGTCACTTATTTTCATGGATTTGCATTTTCAACCCAAAAGAATCCACCATACTCACACTTGGAGAGCTTTGGTGCAAATTGCACAGCCTTCTGCCATGACTGTGAATTTATCTTGGTGTCCCAGACCCCTGAGTGAGTCCTGCACCTCCTGTAAATGCATTATTCCCATCAGGATGCTGAAGTCTGGCAGGTTGGAGGCAGCTCAGTGTCAGCAAACCCTCGAGGAGCCCAACAGCTCATGGCAGCAGGGCAGGTAAGAGAGACCTGGCACATCTTCTGGCCCCCAGCAGATTCAAAAATTCACAAACTTTTCCAAGACTCCGTGGCTGTGTCTGTCCTAGTGAAATAAATAGTGCCAGGGCCAACTCTGCCAGTCCTCAGGCAGCTGGGGCTAATAGGAATGGCCCCTGGACTGACTTTTACACAACGCAAACACTGTCTGGAGAAGCTCTGGCTGTGCTGGGCTGCAGCTCTGCCTTTCAGCAGGGAAGAAAATTGTTTCTCAGTTTTCCTGACCTGTGCCCAGGCTCTGTTTGATTTACTAATACAGACACAGACTGCATGGATCTGTTAAACTCAGGACATCTGAACTAAGCCTGTTGTCTGGAAGGTTTTAAATCGAGTCACATATTTCAGGAAGGCTAGCTGAACTTTCCCTGAATATTAGGTTTACCTGTGAAAGCAAAATTAATCTTTACTGTAGAAGAAAAACCAAATTCCTTGCACAGCCTCTTTGCATAATTTTTGTTGCTGTTTTTTCTCAAAAAGCTTTTGAACAGCTCTGCAGCTTTTCCAGGCATAATCATGAGCAGGTATAAACCTATACGGCTGTCAGATTTGAAAAATTAAGAGTTTGAGCTATTCTAAATAATACTCATAGCTGTGAACAGTTTTAAACAAGGCACAAGCTGAAATCCCTTCAGCAAAACATGCCTTGATTATTTCAAGACTCTCAAAGTGGTTGTGAGTATTAAAGGCAGTTCAAACATTTTTTTGCAAGCAGACCAAGGACTACATTTGCCAAAATTACTCTTGGGTTGCAGACTTCTGGTCCAAGCTGAGGTCAAAGAGTATGACATCCCTGGCATTGAACAGCTTCAGGGTTTATGTTTTGTGTTTACCAACACCATTTACCAAATACCACCCTGACAATCCCTTGCAGTGTTCCAAATGAGGTAACTTTGCTGGCATTTCCACACTGGTATCTTGCAGGATGCCGTTCTCTCCCATCCAGACCAGTTTAGCTGTATGAATTCCTTGGATAATGTCTTATCTCTGCCTGTTCCTCTCTTTTTAGACTGTCTCATTTTATGTTTGTAGCCTCCAGTATGTCCTCCTGTACTGTAACTTTGTATTGTGTTATGGTAGCCAAAAACCTGGCCCTCCATGGGTGTTCTTGAGAAAATTCCTGCTCTGGGAATATTTTTTGTCACTCCTTTTTTTTGTTAGATTCGCTTTTTCCAGCCTTCTGCTGGCAGCATTTAGCTGAAAGTTACTATTCTAAGGAATGATTTCAGACTGTAGTATCCCAGTAAAGAAGTAATTCTCTGGGAACTCAGTGACACACATAGATGAGATAATAATTTTTTCCCTCCCTAGCTCACAAATTAACTAATGATCTCTCTTTTGTCACTGCTGTGGGACAGAAGCATTTTAAATCCATCCCAATTATGTTTTCATCTACTGCAAAGATTTTCAACATAGTCTCAGGTTGGCTTTTTTTTGTCTTTACCTGGAGATAAATTCCAACAGGTTGGTATAAAACACATTCCCAGGTGAATGGGCTGAGCATGCAGGTGCTGGTGAGTTGAGCAGCACTTTGTGAAGCTCTGGAGGCTTCATTTGGAAGAATAAGGCCAGTAGGATTCTTCAAACCCTCAATTTAAAAATCCTCAGTTTTATAGCCATATATAAAGAGCCATAAACTCTTTGAAGTCAATGCCACTATTACCATTTGAACCAGTCACAGCCTGGCTAAAAGTTGTGGAGGAGGCAAAAGGTGTCTAAAGGTCACTTGAAAACTGAATGTATGATTTTTGTTGGGATTGCAGGAAGATTTCAGTGTCCTGTTGGCCTCCTTGTTCTATTTTGACTTGTTTTGAGACATTGCTTTGGTTACTGGGTGCATTAGTTAAGACTTTAGGTCTTTCATACATTTTTTGTTGTTTTTCTTTGTGGAAACTTGCATATAATCTGAAAAACCCTGAAGGTTTTTAAAAAAACAACTTGAAGCATTATTATTTACTCTTAAATAAAAGATTTGGAAAGCAGATTCTGCTCTTAAGAAATTGAGAAGATTCCATTGTTACAGGTCAAAGGGAGTGGAAGAAGACTGGTGCTGAAATCCTCTTGGGCTCTCAGAATTTAGAGCACAAAGCACCTATTTTCATTAAAAGAGAGGAATATGTGCACATGTAACAGGGAGAGCTGGTTATGTAAGTGGGAGATAATGAACCTGAGTCCAAGAACTGGATGTCTCAGGTGATTGACAGCTCCGTCCACACTTTTGTGTCAAACTCTGTGTTCTCAGCAGAAAGGAATGTTTTATTAAACACTCGTTCCTGCAAGGAAGTGTGGTGCATACTGACCTGTGCCACCCCAGTGATCCTCACAGAGATCCTACCTGACCTATTTACACAGTGCTGGGTGGATTTTGGGACTCTGAGAATTGGGGGGAAGGCCAACAAAGCAGATATCCTGGTGGGAGTCTGTTACAGACCACCCAACCAGGATAAAGAGGCAGGTGAAATGTTCCATGGGAAGCCTTGTGGTCAATGCCCAGTGTTCCTGTGGGAGACTTTTACTTGCCAGATTCCTGCTGGAGATACAGCACAGCAGAGAGGAAACAGTCCAGAAGGTTCCTGGAGTGTGTGGGAGGCAATTCCTGCCACAGCTGGTGAGGGAACCAGGCACCGGTGATGCCCCACTGGAGCTGTTGGTGAACAGAGAAGGGCTGGTGGGTGATGTGATGGTGGGAGATCCTCCTGGGCACAGCAAACATGAAATGAGAGGTTTTGGTTCTTGGGGAGATGGAGGGGTGGCAGCAGAACCCCCACCTCGGATTCTGGAGGGCAGACTGTGCTTGGGAGCTGGATTGGCAGAGTCCTCTGGGAGGCAGCCCTGAAGGGCTGAGAAGTCCAGGAAGGCTGGGGATCCTTAAGGAGGAAATCCTAAAGGCACAGCAGGAGCAGGCCATCCATCCCCACGTGCCAAAGGACGAGCCACAGGGGGAGAATGATTGGCCTGGCAGAGCAGAGAGCTTTGGCTGGAGTTCAGGGAACAAAACAGGGTGTATGGCCTTTGGAAGACAGGGCAGGCAACCCAGTAGGACTACAAGAATGTTGTGAGGTTATTCAAGGAGAAATTAGAAGGGCCAAAGCCCAGCTAGAACTTAATGTGGCTACTGCTGTAAAAGACAATTAAAAATATTTCTGTAAATACAGCAGTAAGGAGAGCCTCCATCCTTCATTGGATGCCACCCTTTATTTCCTACCAGAACAGCCCCACAGGGTGCAGCTGCTCAGGAATTTCTGAGTGGATTTTCCTGTGAAAAGCTGTTGGGAACTAGAAGTAGGCAGAAAATGACACGGTGTCATGTCCTCTGTGACAACTTGTGACAGGCTGATCACTGCAGTGCCACACAGCACTGGTGAGTGCAGAAATTATGTGCTGAACACCACTGGAGTTCATCAGGAGGTCTGCCATTAGTGAACAGGGGCAGTGGCATTTTCAGGGATTGACTCCTGCCGCCCTCCTCTTAAATACCTGTTCCCACAGTACACAAAGGGGTTGTTGGTGTATCCCACGGAGTGAATTTATCAGCCCACATATCACTCTTCATATTACGTGTCTAAAAGTTTCAGGTTGAGCCTGCAAACATAGCAAGTTTTGTTTTAATTCTGTTTAATGCTTTATTTCTGTTTC